ATATATATATCTATATGCTTCATCAGGATATGAAGTCCATTTTGATTTTATGTACTTAAAAGATATTTCAGAAGTAACCAAGAGAACTTGAGTTTCAGAAAATGTATTGATATAGTGATACAAAGATTTAAATGTTCAGATTATGCTTTTCTTTGTTGATTTTTGTGCTGAGTTCTCTGAGAAGTTTCAGATTCAGAAACATCTTTATCTTTGGTGAAATAAATCAATACACACAATTGTACTACAGCTGTTTGTGGTATTGTGGTTTGAACCTTTGACCTTGCACAGGATAGGGATAGATGCTGCCATATAACCAATTATCTAGATTAAAAACTTTTATAACACAACCTGTCTTTTACTAGGTAGTGTTTTACTTGGAATTTTTAAAAACACATAATTGTAGTAGGTCTTACTGACTTATAAACACACTTTACCTAGTTTTATATAAAAGTTGAATTAACTTTCTGAAATGAACTGAAGTTTTTCAAAATTGTTTTCTGAGTTTTGAAGAACATATTCTAGAAACTACTCTGAAAACATAGTTTAGTGAATGACGTGAAAGCTGAGATACATAAAATACACTTTGTATTTTTAGTTTTCATTATTGTTCATACAGTGTCTCACTAATCTTCCCAGGCCACACTCCAGTTCATGACCTTTCTTCCTAAATATGTTGAGTGGTTTGGACTATAGGCATGTGAGACAGTGCCTAGCTGAGGGTTTCTTGAAATTGTCATAAAACCATCTGCAAATGCGCTGGGAATGAATGTAGTGAAGCAGTGTTTCTGTTTTTGTTTTTTTTTCTTGTTGGTTTGTTTTTGTTTTTCTTCCGGTACCAGGAATCGAACTCATGACCTTGTGCTTGAAGCAGTGTTTTTAAAATGCCATTGTACCTGCTTGACAACTTAGTTCAGCTTCCATCATTCCTCTTTTGCTTGTAAGAGACTTAAAATTTTACATTTTAAAAGAATTTATTCACTATCTAAAGTTTATTAAATCATGATCTTTGTACTTCTTTTTCTCTAAAATACCCTTGCTCTGCTGGGTGCAGTGGTTGTATCTGGAATTGTATCCTGTAGTGATTGTATCTTGTAGACAAAGAAGAAGTTGCAGTACATCCAGAGTTCAGAGCAAGCTGAGGCAGATTAGGAAGACCCTCCTTCCAAAATTAAAGTCATCATGATCTTTAGGGTTATTGCTTGTTTTTCATTTTGTGTTTTATTATCTTTACTTTTTACTCATTGGTCCTTATTTGTTGATCATTTCCAAGAACATGATTACTTTTTCTTGATGAATAGTTTTCCTTAATGAGTTTTATTAAACTTACATACATGTAACTCTCAATGCTTTTTGTATTTAAAAATTTGACACTCAATATTTGAGTTATTACCTAACTGTAGACATTTTTAAAACTCATTTTATGACTACCTGTTGAAAAAAAGACTCTTCTTTAATAATACATTTTGCATCTAAAACACATGGAGAATTGTTTGATCAATCCTGCATTCTTGCATCTGGTAATCCAAGCAACTTCACTGAATGTTGGATTACTTATCCATCCCTGTCCAGGGTGAACTGGTCCCCCAAGCGAGATGCCCACGGATGTATTAATCCCCTTGTCAAAAGAACCACTCCAGAGCCATATCTCTGGGCTCAGGGGGCTAGTTGCCTTCTGGACTCCACCTGACCATCTGCAGTAACCTTTTATTCAATGAGAACAAAGTAGGAAGCCCCGGAATTGGGGCGATCTCAACCATTTTTGCAAGGCCAATAGAACTCCATTGTCATAGGAATGAGACTTGACCAGTAAGCCATCATGTTATCTTCCTTAGGGCATATCTCAGAAAAGCATCTAGTGTTGTCCCAGGGCCAACAATGCTTTTGCTAGACTTCCTCCAGAACCCAACAACCGTGGCTTGGGCAGGCCTGAGGCAATACATTTAGAGAATGTCCTTCTCCACAATTGAAGATAACAATATGTAATATAACAACCATTGTTAATTTCTACCATCTTGTTTTGAAATCCTGAGTTATTTTTATTGTTTTTGTATTGTTGTTTTTTGTCTTCATTGTTGTTATTTTGGTTTTTTTTCTCTTCAAAATAAAAGAATTTACCTTGCTTTTAAAGTGCATGCCTAGAGGAAATGAGATTCTGAAACCCACAGTGAGAATGAGATTGTGTATCTGAACCCACATATTATTTATACTTCAGAATTGAGGGAAGACCTCATCTTGTAATTGTTTTCAGTCTGTGTTTTTGATAAATATGAGTTTTCTGTGTTATAAGTATTCTAAATATCAGAGTAAAATACATAACAATGAATAATCTAAACTCAAAAGTTCTGGAAGATACAGATTCAAGGAAAACACTGCATTTAGATGTAATAAAAATAATGCAACTGTAGATGCCATGAACTGAAACACAAAGCATTCATAAAGATAAGACAAGGTGAACTAGCCTTAATTTTGAAATCCTACAAAGCAAATGTTAAAATATAAATTAGATAATAAGGGCTATTTTCATGCTAATAAAATTGTATTTGATATTATCAGTCTGTAAGGTTTCTTGAGGAGGTACAGCCACACAACCATAGGCAAACAGTGGCATACAGGATGGGCATGGTAGCCCATGCCTGTAATTCCAGCACTCAGGAGGCTGACACAGGAGGATTGCTATGAGTTTGAGGCCAGCCTGGAGAACACAGTGAGTTCAAAGTCAGCTTGCACTACATATGAGATCCTCTCTCTCAAAAAAGTGCACACAGGAAAAAAAGAGGATTTAAGAGATGGTTCAAGAGATCATCAAAGCAAATACATAGAATCTGCACAGTGTGATGGCCAATGTCAAGCTCACAGTTAAATTCCCCATGCAACTCCTTTTCCCACGTCCCCTTTCCTTTCCAAAATAGACATGGGTTTTAATGGTCATGTCTCTTCACTCTCCTTTTCTACTTGACTGCTATCAAACCCACTGCAATAATAAATTTTATTTTCTTGAAATAATACACCCTGGACAGATCATTTTCCACCTTTACCTAGCACCTCCCTTTGCCCTCCCTGTAGTCCTCCTTGCTTCCGTTTATCCCTCTCATATCCCTTCTTTTTTCATTTCCCTCTCACAATTATTTCACTCTTTTCTGGCTCTATCCCTTCATTTATTATTAGCTGCACTGTAAATATTTCTCCAAATTCTTTGAACATTCATTGTCAGCCAGGAATTGTGTTTTCTGCCAGTTTTACTGAAATACAACTTACTTACCATTTGGTTATACTTAGTTATAAAGTTATACTTAGTTAACACCCTAGAATATTTGCTTTATCATCTAAAGAAAGTTCCAATCCTTCTTTCTCCTATCTTCCCAGGCCCTGTGAACTGCTAACGTACCGTGTATTTTATGAAATTTCATGTTCTGGCCACTTTGGATCATTCAAAACTATGTGTCCCCTTTTTTTTTTTTTTTTTTGCATGACATTTCAAAGATTAACTCATATTGTAGCATTTATCAGAAAATTACTTTTTTATGTATGAATAATATTATGGAAGGCTTCTATTTTTGGTCAGTTATCGATTACTGGACACTTCAGTTGTTTCTTCTATTGCTGGAAAAACTACATTCTCTGCCATCCACGCTGCGTTAGCACTGCCTGGGAAACTCCTTTGTGTCATTCAAAGTACTCCAGGTAAAACACCACCTCTTTCCCTGAGCTAGGGAGTTTCGCACTCCACTCTTTCATACTGTCACAGCATCTTATCCTTTATTGTCTTTGCCCGCGGGTACAGTCAACGTGAACCCTAGAGGGGGAGTGGGGATTATAAAGGGACAAGAGACACGAAGAATGGAGACAAGACAGTGCTCTGATCAAGTCTCGTTTATTAGCGGGAAGTGCGGTGCTTATATACAGCACGGAGAAACGCGGAAGTTCTAAGGTGGGAATAACCAAATAACCTGACAAAGGCGGGAGTAACTAGGTAACGGTGGGCAGTCCTAGTTCTTGAGGCGGGAGTAGCTAGGCAACGGTAGGCAGTCCTGACTTAAAGGGAAAGGCGTGTAAGACAGCTACTAATATACAATGGAGGTCAGTCTCGGTCTCCTACACTTTATTATTTTCTCACATTGTCACCACTCTGAGACTCATGCTCATTTCCTTTGGAAATATCACACACGCTGACAGAGGGCAGTGACTAAAAGCAAAGTTCTTCCCTTCCCTAAGCTTCTCATAGCTCAGATATTGAGGAATTCTCTTACATTCTCTTACAGTGTAAGAAATTCTCTTACATTGTCATTACATGGCAGCTTGGCATGAAGTGTGGTCAGGTAAGCCAGGGGTCCATAGGTGCTCAGCGATGCTGAAAGGAGTGAGAGAAAGTGTCTGGAATTGGGAGTGTTTAAACAGGACCTGAGGACGTATCCTTATGAGTCGGGTCATTAGTGGCATGGGGAATCAATTTCCAGGTAGAAGAGCCAGCATATGAATTGTTGGTACATGCAGATGGAAGCATTACGAGGTTACATTGTATCAACAAATTCAGGGACGTCAGAATGGAAGAGTGCTCAAGCCATTAAAAAGAATAAGAAAATAATTTTTAGGTAAAACAGTAGAGTTAATACAGAGTTTCACTAGACAAGATGGTAGGAGTTCACCATTGTACTTTCATTGCCTACTGTTACCTTCAAATCAGTTGCTCAGACCACCAGACACAAGCATGCAAAACTGATCTGAACATAAAAAATTGTAAGCATTGACTGCTCACTTCAATACACCATCAGACAGCAGCAATACAGTCATCGCAGCTATTCATATATATATTTATGTTTTGCCTTCCTTCTTTCTTTTTTCTTCTTTCCCTCATCCCAGTCATTCCTTCCTTAGAGCAATTTCTTGCCTTTTCCTATCATCTACTGAGGATAGTGATATGTAATGTAACAACCACTGTTAATTCGTATTATTTTGTCTTGACACCCTGTATCAATTTAAATGTTCTAGCTTTGGTTTGTTTATGTTTGTGATACTGGTATGCTGCCACTGTTCTATTTTTTGTTTGTTTGTTTCTCATTTACTACTCTCTTTAAAATAAAATTTTAAAAAATTCAGGGATGGTAGAGTGTTTTTCCAGAAAACATTCTCAAACTCGTCTTCACATTGTTGTGGGTATTCTTCATAGGTTCTTCTGAGTCAACCCCTACAATTGGTAGGTAATAAAGAAAAGCTCTATTAGTCTGCAAAATATGATGCAACAGGGTTCCAAGCATCTGTAACAGTGGGTTTGATTTATGCATGACTTTTTGGTCTGATTCTTGTTTCTATTCAGTTAGTTCTTCCAGCCTGGAGAGCAGATTGTGAAAGGGAAAAACCGTACAAGGAAAAGTTGTTCTTTTTAAAACTTTGTTCTTTTATTGTTTGTTTGTTTTTTTTTTTTTTTTTGGTTTTTCTCCGGTACCGGGAACTGAACTCACGACCTTGCACTTGCCAGGCAGGAGCTTTGCCGCTGAGCTAAATCCCCAGCCCCAAACTTTGTTCTTTTAAAACTGCCTAGCTCTGTAACTGCCTCATGACTCTGTAATTTCCTTCTTGACCCCTGTAACCACAAAAGCATAAAGAACATGCTTGAAGTCTGATTGTAACAAACTTCATGATCATTAGTCTAGCCTTGTAACTGATGAGCTCACTCTCCCAGCTAATCAGAGAACTGCCGGGCTGTTCTGCCTCACCTTTGTACCTCCTTTGTACCTCCTGCCTATGCATCATTTAAAAGCGCTAGCCCACAAGCACACGGGGCCTGGCATTGTTGTTGGGAGTTATCCCAGCCAGGAGCACCGGTGTAAAATAAAGCTGTTCACTGCCTGCTGACTTCCTCAGGTATCATTCCTTTCCTGGACTCAGCTTTGTACAACAGTTATAGAGGGAAGCAGTGGTTTTGATATACAAAGAGCCACTGGAGTGAGACTGAAATATGTACACATGAAGAAACTGAGAGGAGTAGTCATAGAAATTCATTATGTGATTTTCTGAAGGAAGAATTGATGCATTCAGTCAGGCATGGTGGTACATGCCTGTAATCTCAGCACTCAGGAGGCTCTGGCAGGAGGGTCACAGCAACTTCAAGGCCAGCCTGGGTTACACAGTGTGTTCAAGTTCAGCCTGGACTACATAGCAAGACCCTGTCTTTAAAAAAAAAAAAGGCTGGAGATATAACTCAGCGGCATAAGCGCCTGCCTGGCAAGTCTAAGGTCCTGAGTTCGATTCCTAGTACCAAAAAGAAAAAAAGAGAGAGAGATGTATTTGGAAGTTTATTTTTATTTTTTATTACAGGGACAAAATATCTGTCACACAAAATTTAAGAAGAAAGGTTTATTTTGTGTCACTGTTTCAGAGATTGTAATCTGGGTTTGACTGTTTCCAGGGCAGACTTTCCATGTGTCATGTCACATGGAAATGAAGAAACATAGGTAACTGCTTCACAGGGCCAGACACCAGAGAGAGGGGGAAAGCCTGCACAGAACTGGCCAGGGGTCGCACATATGGTCCCTCATGTCACGTGCATATGAGTTAACCAGACACTCCCAGAAGTGCGTCTTACTGTTATCCTGCACATTTATCAAGCCAAACAAGTTTGTAAACAGTGTTATCACACGACTCCACATAGCTTCCTCTGGGAATATCAATGTTGAAACACAGAGCATTTCAACACAGGAGGGCAGAAGTACAGTGCACGGGAGCTTACAGTCTGAAGTCCTCAGGTGTCCCTGCGTCCTCACCAGGAAGTAATCCAGACAGCCCAATGCGGGGCTCCGTGTCACAGAATCACTCAGGCCCCCAAGCTTGTCAGTGTTTCCTTCAGAATTAAGGTTTTTAAGGACTCTGGATGAAATATGCAGCTTGTCTGAGGGGTTGCAGTGTTTGCCTTTTTTCCCTCTTTACACTTTTGCAGGACGTTGCTAGCATTTAACTGTAAGTTTTTTTCATAAGCACAATAACTGAATTCTTTCTGACAGCCTATACTCCTTTTCTGGGAGGAAACGCGTGGACTGAGAGAGACACTGCAAACGTCTTGGTCATGAAGCCTGCTGCCTCATTCTCGAATACTGACCTCTCAAACAGCAGGCCTGCTCTCCCTTCCTCCGGGTCCTGGCCTGGCCTAGACTCACAGTGTTTTCTGACACCTGGGGACTGACTCTTCCATGAGCCGTTCACCCTGGAATCTTCTGAGCACATTTGAGACCCTAGTTTCAGAAAGAGTGCGCTAAGTCCCTCAAGGAAACAGGGGCTGCTCTTAAAAAAATAAATAAACCGCTTACATGCAATTATACCTCAGGCAAGGTGAGGCTGACGTTGTGGGAGAGAGCTTGATCCAGAAGTACTGGGGTCACACAATATTATCCGAGCTACACCCATGCGGGAAGTAGTTTGGCTCGCTGGCCACACTCCGCTGAGAGGGTAGGCAGTGGGCCAGGAGCCAGCCTGCGGGGAAGGGGCAGGCCCTGCAACTATCCAATCAGATGGGCCCAGAAAGTGTGGCTTTTCCAGTCTCCCGGCGCCACAGGGCGCGTCCTGAGCGTGTGGCTGAGAGCTCCCCAGCTGGCTACGCTGCCTTCCTCTGTGCCAGCATCTCTAGTTTTCCTGGTGGTCAGACTTGTCCCTCAGTGGTCACCAAGGTGGGCTGCTCACTCTGGGTTCTTCCGGTGGCTGATGGAGTATTCCTAGTTCTCCCAGGTCCCAGACATAAATCACAGTGTTGGTGGATCACAGACCACTTGCTCCAGTGCCCCAGGTAGCTCAGGGCACATGTATGACCCAGAAGCAGGCTGCATTGTTGGTGTGAACACGGACCACAATTCAGGACACAGGCAGAGCTAAAACACCATCTGCAGGGTCTGCAGTTCATGGACCACCTGATTTGGTGTCTCCAGGCAGCTCAGGGTGCACACAAGATCGAGACGGGGGCTGTAGTGGCATTGGTCTTGGACCACCTATTTCTGTGTCCTGCGGGAGTTCAGGGTGCACACAAAGCCCAGATGCAAAACCAGGGTGTCAGCAGTTCATGGACCACCTGATCTAATACCTCAGGCAGTGCAGTCCCTGCGCAGGGGAGACCCAAACATGAACCCCAGTGTTAGTGGTTTGTGGGCCATCTGAGCCAGTATCTCCTGGCTGCACTGGGCACACAGAGGATGGAGACACAGACTGTGATGGCAGCAGGATCACTAGTTGCCTGCTCTGTCCCCGGTCAACCTCTTTTTCTGTGTGTGTGTTTTTTGGGGGCAGGGGTTTGGGTTTTTTTTTTTTTTTGAGATAGGATCTCACTGTATAGTTCAGGCTGGCCTTGAACTCACTATGTAGCTCATGCTGGCCTCAAACTCATAGCAATCCTACTGCCTCAGCCTCCAAAGTGCTAAGATTACTGGCATGCATCACCATGCCTAGCTCAATCTCTTTCAAATGTGGGCTTTGTCTGTTCAAACAACTGCCATTTATATCATTTTGATAACTATAATTCTTATGTACCTTGTCATACATTCTGAATAATGTCAAAATGGTATAACTTCATAAGATTTGGTTGAATCAATGCTAAGTACAATCAGAGAAAGGACTCAACACTATAAATAAGATTTGAAAAGAGATATTATCTATGGTCTATGAAAACTATTCATTAGATACTCATCTGCCCCAGTGGATTTTGGATTGTGATCTTGCAGCTCTGTCTAGAATTAGTGCACAAAGATGATGGCATTAACCCAACAGGAAAACCACTACCGTATTCTCATGTAGCAGAATTGCTCTGGGAAAAATGTGTGTGCAATGGAGGGTAAAAGTTTGATGACCAAGACATGAAGTTAATATGTGAAGGATTCAGCATCACTTCAGGATTTTATGAGAGGAATTGATCTGTTCCAGGCTGTGAGTCTCAAACTTCTTTCAGGAAATGTATGTGTTATCATTTAGGAGGCAGTGACCTTTGCGGATGTGGCTGTGAACTTCACTGTGGAGGAGTGGGCTTTGCTGAAGCTGTCCCAAAAGAAGCTCTACAGAGATGTGATGTGGGAAACATTTATGAACATGGTTGCTATAAGTAAGTATGATGTCATTTTTTTTCTTTATACAATCAGAGAACATTGCTTCTTGCTTATTGGTACAGTTTCATCAATCAGAATGTGACAACTTTTTAAGGAATATCTCAGACCTGGTTGGCTTGTACTATGAATCTAACTGGAATTTGTTATTTTCTTTTGTAGTAATACACTAACTCCTTTTATTTCTGTGTGTACAATTCAGGAAGAACCTATTATAACCAACAAATTGGAGAGGAGTACAAAAATTGCTGGAGAAATCTAAGGTAATTTGCATTCACAAGTAAAGGAAAGTGCCTCAAGCGTCAGAGTGTGAGCAGAAATACTAAAACCAAGGAAACTAAAAAGAATGTAATTTTGAAATTTATTTAATTTCACATTCTCCAAAAATGTATACAGTTTGAGTTTGTATTATCTAACAGTGAAATACAGAAATATCCCAATATAGGGACCTGATATAGTATAGACATTATGTAACAAGTCACACTATCTGATGTATCAGTATACAAAAATATTCTTCCATGATCAGTGTTCAAGAAAATGTAACAAATTACATCTAGGCATTGTGTATAGGTGTGTGTGGAAAGAACAGATTTTGTGTTTTGACAGGGAGCCATCTTCAGCATATCTAATTTTGTATACATGTGAATATGAGACCGCATCAAGAGCTAACCTGAAAGTAATACTCAAAATGCAAGTGAATGGGAGTGTTTTGTTAATAGGTATTTTCAAGCCATCCTCCAGAGAACTGAGTCCATTCATGTTTTATAATTCTTATAAGTCATTGGTGAGAATGCAAAGTAAAACTACTATGAAAATCAGTATACAGATATCTCAAAAAGTCAAAATATAAATTCCTTTTGATTCAGGTATACTTTTTTGGGTTATATTCCCAAAGGAGTTAAAATCACCATATTACAGTAAAACATTCATACAGAAGTTCAAAGAAGTAGCTAAATTCTGAGTATACCGTAGATGTCTTTTTTGGATCCATAGATAAAGAACATTTTGGATAGGTGGTGCATTCTTACAATTCCAGCACTCTGGGAAACTGAGTCAGCAGAATAACAGGTTGAAGTTCTGCCTGAGCAAATTAATGGTCAATGAGAACCCATCTCAACATAGAAAAATATATCAGCAGTAGAAGTAATTTGGTACTAAATTCCTGAGTTTAATTCCCAGCACTCAAATAAAAAAAAATGCAAATGTTCACAGACTGTGGGAATTGGTGGTCTCTTGGTGGTTCCTGGGAGAAAACAGCAAGAGGATTTAGAAAATAAAGACAAGAGATAGCCAGGGTCAGGTGGAGTTACCTCTTGCCTGATGGGCAGGAGAACTGCCCAAAAACAGTAGAGCATTTATTTGTACCCTGGAGAAGCTGGTTAATTTCCACCTCACTGCCCAGCAACCAGTTAACAAGTTACAAGGGCTTGTTTACTCCGAGGAGCTCCTGTGTTCTCAGGCTGGCTTCATCCTGCATATGTAATTTTTTTCCAGCTTCAGCAGCTCCCACCAACATACATCCAGCCATAAAGAAAAGTGATGTTATTTGCCAAAATAAAAGAAAATGGATGGGTCTCCATCTGGTAAGCAGTAAAATAGACAAAGGAAGTGTAATAACAGATGAGTTCTCTCTCTTTTTTTTTTTTTTTTTTTTTTGCACCAGGAATCAAACTCAGGACCTTGTGCTTCCTGGTGGGTACTGTGCCACCAGGCTATAGCTCCAGACCTCAAATGGGTTCTCTAAAATGAGAAATCTAAAATATAAATCAGACAGTGAAATAAAGGATCAGGATTCAAAAAAGTGTACTCTGATCCCTTTTTGGAGATGGTGAAGAGGATCAGGGTAAGGAAAGAAAGCAGTGGAAAGTATCAAAAATGATCCACATATGATATTCACATGGGTCAGCTCCCAAAATGAAAGCAAGCATGTACTGCAAACACATGTTGACTTAAAAAATCCCAAATGAATACCACTGTTTAGTAATAGCTCTTGTCAAGAATCCTCTAGAGCATTCAGTCAATTCATTCTCAGAATTTCTTAGGATCCATCAAACTGAAATTTTCCCAATAAATTATTAGCAAGGAGATGCTTCTTGTTTTGATTGGTATTTTGTTGATTTTTTTTTACAGAAATGAAAAAGAGAAATGCTATGAATATGAAGGATTGAAGAAATATGAAGAAATATTTCTTATGACTCCAGATGCTAATGTGAACTTGAAAAAATCTAGTTTTAAACCAACTGATAGCATTGCTTGTAGAAAGCCCCTGATTGATAATTTATCACTAAATGACCCCATCAGATCTCACACTTGACTAGAGCCACATGAGTATTTTGGATTTAAAGAGAGGGGTTATAAACGTAATGAAAATGGAAGAGCCAGCTTTGAATTTGAGTCCTTTCAAAAGCACAGAAGGACAAAGCCTGGAGAGAAACCCTGTGAATATGAGCAGTGTGGAAAAGCTGACTCTGACCCCAGGGAGAGAACTCACCCTGAAGAGAAGACCTTTGTATATAAGCAAAGTGTGCGAGCCCCCAGCACACTCAATGATGTTCAAATCTGTGAACAAAGTCACAGTGCAGGGAATCAATATGTGTGCCAACAAGCTGGAAAAGCTTTTGTTTCTTCCCAGTATATGGAAATACAAGAAAGAAGGCGTGCTGGGAAAAGCCATATATATCTAAGGAATGTGAACAAGCCAAATTAGCTTCCAGTAATTTCTTTCACAATCACAGAAGAAATCACACTGGAAAGAAATGCTACAAATGTAAAGACCGTGGGAAGGCTTTCAGGAGTCAGAGTAACTGTCACAGACATGAAAAATCTCACACAAGGGAGAAACCCTATGTGTGTAAACAATGTGGAAAAGCTTTCAGCACACATTGGCACTATCAAATACATGACAGAAGTCACACCAGGGACACACCCTGTATATATAAGCACTGTGGAAAAGCGTTTACTGCACACACTTCTTGTCAAGTACATGAGAGAAGTACATGAAGTACTGCACACACTTCTTGTCAAGTACATGACAGAAGCCACACTGCAGAAAAATCATATGTATGTAAGCAGTGTGGGAAAGCATACAGTACATGGCAGTGTTACCAAATACATAACAGAAGGCATGCCGGAAAGAAAACCAATGTGTGTGAGCAATGTGGAAAAGGGTTTTCTTCTAACATTTCACTTTGTAAACATAAAAAAAACCATACTCAGGAGAAACCCTACATATGTAAGCAATGTGGGGAAGCATTCAGTACTCACCGGCATTGTCAAATACATAAAAGAATGCACACTAGAGAGAAGGCTTATGTATGTAAGCTCTGTGGGAAAGCTTTCAGTACACAAACTCGTTGTCAAAGACATGAACGAACTCACACTGGGGAGAAACCCTATGTATGTAAGCATTGTGGGAAAGCTTTCACTGCACACTCTCATTGTCAAATACATGAGCGAACTCACACTGGGGAGAAACCCTATATATGTAAGCATTGTGGGAAAGCATTCAGTACATGTGGTTCTTGTAAAATACATGAGAGAACTCACACTGGGGAGAAGCCCTATATATGTAAGCATTGTGGGAAAGTTTTCAGCAGTCACAGTTACTGTCAAATACATGAAAGAATTCACACTGGGGAGAAACCCTATGTATGTAAGCATTGTGGGAAAGCATTCAGTGCATGTGGTTCTCGTAAATCACATGAAAGAACTCACACTGGGGGGAAACCCTATTTACGTAAGCATTGTGGGAAAGCATTTGGTACATGTAGTACTCGTAAAACACATTAAAGAACTCACACTGGGGAGAAACCCTTTGTATGTAAGTACCGTGGAAAAGCATTTGGTGCACAGAAACATTATAAAGTACATGAAAGAATTCACACTGGGGAGAAACCCTATGTATGTAAGCAATGTGGGAAAGCATTCAGTGCATACCTCGCCCATAAAATACATGAAAGATCTCACACTGGGGAGAAACCCTACATGTGCAAGGAATGTGGGAAAGCATTCAGTAGCCCCAGTTCTTGTCACATGCATGAAAAATTACACAGGAGAAACTAGGCAATGTGGAAAATCATTTAATACATGCAAGTATTGTCAAAAATAAGGAAGATATCTCACTGGTGAGGATCTCTATGTAAGCCTATTTTGAAAATACTCTGAAAATTTCTAATGTAGGAGGAGGTGTATAGAAATGACTTATATGAAAAGCTTGACATTACTTTTTCTGAATAAACAAATTCCAGAATAAAGAATTTCCAGAAAGTGCACTCCCCAATGGGGAAGTATAAACACTGTATATAATAAATACTTGTCCTAAAGTATTTATTTAGTATAAATACTTATCCTAAAGTATAAACTCTGTTCTCCAATCAATAATAATGTATATAATAAATACTTAACCTAAAGTATTTATTTAGTATAAATACTTATCCTAAAGTATAAACACTGTTTTCCAATCAATGCATAATTTTAATTATGCATCTGTAACATGAAAACATATGAATTGATATTATGTATTTTTCTGAATTAACTTTCTTGAGTTAGGTACCTACTGCTTTAGTTAAAGAAGATTAGTTGAAATATGTTTGTCACATACAAGTAGAGTTACTGTTCATGTAGTTTGCTTTTTGTTTTTATTTGCTTTTATAAATAAGAGATATAGGCCACTAAAAAATAAGTTGTGTTTTTGTCAGGATTTTCCTCTGGCTTTATTTTGAATTCTTATATAGACTCCACTTTCTGTGTAATAATAGATATTTTGGAATTTGATCCTGAATTTTATATTAAAGTACATGTATTTACAGACTTGTGTATATGTGTTTTTGACAAAATCCGATTGTTTTCACAAAACATGCAGATTAGCAAATGACATGTTTTTCATATTCTGACAAGATCCCTGCATATATCCCAATATAACTGTTATATCACGTACACATTTTTCCTATTTTTCTTTCTTATTGGAGCCAACATTGTGGTTTACATAAGCTTTTGTTTCTTAACATAAAAATTTTACCTTTCCTCTAACATCTTTTTTTATATCTGAAATATGTAACACACAGCACAGTAGAATGTCATTTTTACCACCTAGAACATGTGGCTAACTTCCTTGCAGCTCACATCTGCTTTGTACCATCACCAGGAAGATGCATAGTTTATGTTATTGCTAATCCATTCAGCGTTGGAATGTTGAAGATTCAAGGCATTTTAGGCCAGGCATATTTACTTTCCCATTATTTTACCATGAAAAAACTTTGCTGGTCCTGGTAATACATGCTGGTAATCCCACCCACTCAGGAGACAGAGATGGCAAGAAAACAATTGAGGCCAGTCTGGGTAACTTAGTGAATCCCTGTCTCACAATAAATATGAAAGTAGGGGCTGGGGATTTAGCTCAGCGGCAAAAAGCGCCTGCCTGGCAAGCGCAAGGTCGTGAGTTCGGTTCCTGGTACCGGAGAAAAACCAAAAAATAAATAAATAAATAAATAAATAAATAAATAAATAAATATGAAAGTCCTGGAAAAGTATAGTTTACTCCCCAGCATTAAAATTGTTTTAATACAAAATATCCCACATTACCATTTGTTCTTTTCTCACTTAATATGTGAGCATCCAAGACTGCTGTGATTGATTCCTTTGGTGCCAGCATCAGAAGAAGCTGAGGCTTGGCTTACAAGCCAGTGTGAGCCACTTAGCTAGATGTGCTTAACTGAGATACATAATAGTTTTCTTTATAGCTGCATTATAAGTTTAAAGAAAGAAATATGTTTAGGTATACAACATAAACATATAGGATAGAGAAAAGTATTACAAGTCAAGATTTTATTGCTCTGGAAATATTCTTTTGATGATAATATTTGTACAACACCCATTTTCCTGCATCATAGACTAAAACAAACAAAGCATGAATAAGGTAGGAATTAAATGTTTTGAATATAGATGAAACACATCCTGACCTAACTGCAGCTTTTTGCTCCTCTCCACTTGTCACAGACCCCTAGGCAGGGGAGGGAGTGGGGCTGGTGTGTGCAAGCCAGAGGCATGTGGTAAGAACATGAGTGCTTCACAGAGTTTGGAGCTGGGCTGACACAAGAGAGATGGGGAGGAACCCAAATGCCTGTTTTCTCAAAAATACCATGTCAGCTGCAGCAGGGAACGCAGGCTACATGCCCTGGCTCAAGGTGCCCAGCTCGCCTTTTCAGAGCCTGGGTTCATGTGGAGCACAGAGGCACTTGCCCTTTCGCGCACACAGGCAGGGTCACTGCTCTTATGTCACCAGTGGCTGTGCATCGGCTGCCAGCAGTGAACTGTTTGGGTGTAGTCATAGCAACATGGGGGCAGAGCACAGACTTCTAATTCACAAGGGGGACAAAAATTACCATGGTTCAATTGGCTTTTAAAAATATAAATAAAAATTACAACCAGATACTTAAAATGGGTACCAGAGTGCCTAAGTCGGTGAGATTGAGCAAGAAACAATACATGAAAGAAAGGGACAAGAAGTTGCCCATATTAAAAAAAATGATTATAGATAAAAAAGTTTTCATTCCTTCCAAATTTTTATTTTAAGAGACCTACAACAACTTTTGGCTAGTCTTTTTATAATTACAAATTTCTAAATTTGTAAAAGTTATAATTCATTTTTTTCAGGTTTTAATACTTTTTTATTAAAAGAATAAAAAACATTAGAAATAATATAGAATTTCAAAAAACAAGATGCTATGAATTCAACAATGGTTGTTATATTGCCTATTGTTGTCTTCAAACTAGTTGTTCAGATTACCAGATATAAGCATGCAAAATTGTCAAAAAAATTAAGCATTAACTGTTCCTTTCAATAAACCAATAGAAATTAGTAGTACAATTATCTTAGCTATCTTTGTGTGGGTATTTTATTTTGTTATTTTTTTAAAGATAAAAGGAGGAAAACATTAACAGATAGACAACATTTTACAAAATAACAACAGTACATACAATACAGAGTTACAAACAAAGTGGTAGGAAATTAACAATGCTTGTTGTATTACATGTTGATATCTTCAAAGTGGTTTCTCATGAAAACAGATAGAGACATGAAATATTGGTCCATCAAGGACTCATTAACAGTTTCTTTCAGCAAAGAAATAAAAGACAGTATATCAAAGATGTTACCTATCCTGTGTATACATACAAACAAAATTTCTCCTTCTTTCCCTTCTCTTTTCCCATATCCCAGTTGCCCTTTAATCTGGAGTGTTTTCCTATCATTTCACAATGTCTATCATACCTCCCAGTTT